CCATTGGAGGAACCAGCCAATCGGGAGACAGAGTTATAAAAACCTGGAGGCCAATTAAAATATAATTATGACTATGCATAAATTAGTGTCTTCTTAGATGATATAACACCATGCGATAATGAATTTATCTCTGACCATGCAAGGAAGCCATGCACTGGCTTGCTAGAGGACAGACTGGAGTCCTTTCAAGCACTCCTCACACTGTTCTTTTTCCATCAGTGAAGATGAGAGAATGTTCTGCAGGGCTTTGAAGACGTTTGAAAGAATCCTCAGTGACATCCAGTCTTATCACAGAGGTGAGATGACTTTATGAACACATTAGAATGAGGTTATACTGAGAAGAGCTTTGTTACTTGGCCAAATTTTAATAGTGACTCACATCCGGAAAGTGTGACTGGGCGAGTTCCAGCCCTTCTGAAGAAGCTCAGCACGATTACCAGTGTTATTAGTTCTTCCAGCACATATTGGTAAAACACCTATTACAAGTGCCAGCCATGGTGGTCACACCTTTAATCCCAGCTCTGGAAGTAGAGGCAGGTGGATCTCTGTGAGTTTGAGGCCAGCCTGGTCTACGGTAGAGTTTCAGGCCAGCCAGTGTTACATAGTGAGACTATGTCTCAAATCTAAATAAAACCATAGCAAAACCCCTACCTATTACAAGCAAAGCACTGGCCAGGTATGGAAGGCACACACACACACACACACACACACACATTACCCATTTTTTCTCACAGTCCATAAAGTTGGGAAATTTGCATGTAGAAGTTTCTCCTCAGAACCTTCTTTTCCTTCCTGCCCTCCCTCCTTCCCTCCTTCTCTCCTTCCCTCCCTCCCTTCCTTCCTTTTCTTCCATGTGCATGAGTGTTTTGCCTGCATGAACAAAAGTGCATCTGTGAGTTCAATGCCAGCAGAGGCCAGAATCCCCTGGAGCTGGAGTTACTCCTGAGCCTGGAAAGATAGCTCAGTGGTTAAGAGCACTGGTTGCTTTTACAGAGGACCCAGGTTCAGAGCTCAGCACCTACATGGCAGTTAACAACCATTCTTTACTTCAGTTTCAGGGGATCTGATGCCCTCTTCTGGCCTCTGAAAGCATTGCATCACAAGGGTGCACTTAACATGTAGGCAAAACACACACAATAGGGGATGATAGATAGATAGATAGATAGATAGATAGATAGATAGATAGATAGATAGAGATAGAGATAGATATAAATTAAAAAGGGGCTGGAGGTTCAGTGGTTAAGGGGCACTGGCTGTTCTTTCAGAGAACTGAGATTTAATTCCCAACACCCACGTGGTGGTTAACAACCACCATTAACTCTGGTTCCAGGGGACTGTGATGCCCTCACCTCGGGCATTGCACAGCAAGGGTGCACTCACATATAGGCTGGCAATATACTCATACATACAAAAACAATAATGAATAAAATATTTTTTAAAAAATTAAAAAGATCTTGGTTACTTCTTCTCACCTATGGTGTTTTCTCCCTTTGACTTCCTTTATTCTCATTAGAAATAAGAGCATTTGCATCATACATACAATTGTGCCTACAGAACAATGTTTAAGTCAGTTGACAGTATGTGGTGGTGGTCTCACAAGCTTATATCAACTGGTGACTGAGTAGCTTAGCTTGTGCAAATACACTCTATATCCATACAACGAAATAGCCACCCAAGAAAGCGTTTTTCAGAACATGTCGTAGTCACTGAGTAATGCCAGACTGCACTTTGTCTAGTAATTCCAGGAACTCTGGCTTCTTTACCTGCAAACAGGAAGTGTTAAAACAGGCTGTTAAATTATTAAAATTAAGTGGTATTACATTGCAAAGGTGTAAAATAAACTCAGTACTTGGTAAGTTGTATGGATAGTTATAATTATTATACATCAATACCACTGCATTGGTCTCACCCAAGCTGGAAGCCATGTCCTCTAGTCTCACATAAAATTCTCAAATCCCGTTGACTCCATGCTGAAGTGTTTCTCCAACTGTCTTTTCCTTCTTCTTTCTACTGCCCTCTTCCTAATTTATTTTCCTAGTTTTATCTTCGCTTCTCTAATGATTTGGACAAGAGGACAACTGTTGCTCATTGGATTGGCCAACTCTATAAATCTTCTTGAAACATGCCTCCTGCTCCCTTATTATAAACAATCACACATCTGACCTCAGTGTCCACCAGAGAAAGCACAAAAGCTACTGGTCAGTGTCAATCTAGCCATACCTTCTGAATACCATTTCCACTGTGTCCAAAGAAATACTCTGTGCCTTTCCTTAACCCCGCCTTCTCTTTCGTCTTATCAGCTTTCTGCTTTCCCTCTTCTCTTATGGGATCTCTAGTGTGTGCTGTGACTTCTGTACAATTTATTTTATTTTGCTTATTTTTTTGCCCTTTTGAGACAGGGTCTCCCTTCAGCCACAGCTAGCCTGGAACTTGCTGTGTAAACCTGGAGACCTGGATAGCACAGAGGTCTGCTTGCCTCTGCCTCCTGAGTGCTGAGATTAAAGGTGTGCACCACCACGCTTGGCTCTGTATGGTTTATTTTATATTGAAACGAAATGGGGCAACACTATAGAGTGTGTTTAAAAGCATAAAAATTGAGATGAGGTGGTTGTGGTGACTACACAAAGTTCCTTGACTAGAGTATCCAGCTACAGAAAACAATAAATTATAGCTATTCTCATTATTG